AGTAGTGGATGTAGTTGTGGCAGCAGCCAGTGATGAAGACTGACTTGTTGATGAGACTGGTGTAGTCGTTATTGATGATATTTGAGTAGTTGAGGAAGTTGTGCTGGGAGCTGTTGATGAGACTTGAGTAGCTGATGTAGTTGTGGCTGGAACTGTTGATGGAGACTGACTTGTTGATAAGACTGGTGTAGTCGTTATTGATGAGATTTCAGTAGTTGATGAAGACTGACCTGATGATGAGACTGGAGTAGTTGATGTAGTTGTGGCAGGAGCAATTGTAGTTGGTATGGGGTAGGTTGTAGGTGTGCTTTGAGAGGATGTTGAGGCTGAAGTTGTAGTTATTGTAAATGGTGTTGTTGAAGACTCAATTGTTGATGAGACTGGAGTAGTTGATGTAGTTGAGGCTGGAATTGTGGATGAGACTAAAGTAGTTGTTGTTGTGGGAGCTGTTGTAGTTGTTAGAGGCTGGGTTGTGAGTGTGGTTTGAGAGGATGTTGATGTGACTGGAGTAGTCGTAGCTGTAGTTGCTGTTGGTGAAATTGGAGCTGTGGTTAAAGCTGCTGTTGCTGTAATGCACAGTTTTTAAATCAAATATCACTTTAAAACTGTACCTGCCAAAGGCATGTTTTTTATTTATTTAATTAATTTATTTAAAAAGCCTTTTTGTGACTTATCCAATATTAATTTAAAATTTATTTTAATTTGACCTACAAATCAATTCTAATCCTAATCCTCAATAAAATATTTCCTGTGTCAGCTTTGTGGCACAATTCAGCAGTAACTTGTAAATGCAGGTACTGACGTGCAGAAAACCCATTGTATTATCAGGATATTAACATGTTTAAAAGTAACTAAAACATCACAAATTGAACATGAACATTTCTATATTTTTTAAATACTACCAAAAGTATAGGTATACCTTCTTACTTTTCTGTAAACCTTTAGCAGTAAGTTGTTAAACTATTTTAAGTCAGATATCATTAGTTATTTAAAAAAAGAAAAAGAAAACATTATAACATTTTCTTTCTTCATCGTTTCATAATGCAATGTTTCAAAAATATGATGTGTTAAAATATATACTCCTAATACACATAACTTAAATCATAAAATTATAATAAAAACAGAATGTGGAATATATATTGACCTGGTCCAGAGATCAGAAGAAAATATCCAAACAAAACTATCTCAAAAACAAATTGAATTTCCATGGTTCAGTCCCTTCCTCTTCAAAATGCACCGGCAGAGAGGATTTCTTTCTTTCTGTCCCTACGTACTTTACTTGAATCATAAATTGCTCCTCCTCCTGTTATGGGGCAGGTGAAAAGGTAATGAGGAGTTAACTTTCATTCTATAACCTGAAAAACCAGGTTGGTTCCCCATCAACCATGTTTACAAAATACAGGACACGGGCTAACTTGCGGAAAACACCATTGTACATCATTGAACACTTCTGATTGTAAATTTAATTATAAATGACAATGTTGTTTGCTGTGGTCATATATTGTTCATAGACTTTGATCTGCCTTGGAATGTCATAGACACAAATACTTTATAAAGGTGGTGAATATTACTGAAACCTTCTGTTACTCATGGCCTTTCTCAATACTTCCTCTAATGGCAGATTAGTTTGTCTAAGAAAGACATCGACTGTGAAATTGTCTGTCAAATAGCACCACCTAGTGTTGGTGCTACTTGACAGACAGTACTTTAATGTTCATAATTACATTAAACTAAGTAACACTATTGTATTAATGCTTTGTGTTTTATTTTTTTCAAAGTACAGTGAGACGTGTCGTCCCGAGAAGCTTTCATTTATTAGTTGTAATTTTAAAACTATTAATGAACAGATTCATAATAGTATGATGGATTAGACCTAAGCAGGAAGACTCTTAACAAACAATGTACTGTATGTAGTATAAATTCAAAAAGCAGTGTGATATTAAAAGATGTTAATAGCAAATTGTGTAAGTTGGTTTTGTATAACTGTATAGCTTGGATCAAGGGGGAATAGGACTGGAAAAATTAAATGGCAATTAACCCAAACAAATGTTATTTTCTAAAATAATATTGCTTCTCAGACTGCCAAGAAATATGTAATTATGTTGCAGGAGTTATTGTGGTTGTTAGGGGCTGGGTGTAGATGTGGTTGGTGCGAGGTAATGGCTGCAGTTGTAGACATTGTGGCTGGTGTTGTTGTTGAAGACTCACCTGTTGCTGAGAATGGTGTAGTCATAATTGATGAGACTGGAGTTGTTGACATAGTTGTTTCTGGAGCTGTTGATGAAGAATGACTTGTTGATGGGACTGGTGTCGTCGTTATTGATGAGACTTGAATAACTGATGTAGTCGTGGCTGTAGCTGTTGATGAAGACTGACTTGTTGTTGAGACTGGTGTAGACATTATTAATGAGACTGGAGTAGGTGATGTAGCTGTGGTAGGAGCTGTGGATAAAGACTGAGTTATTGATGAGACTTCAGTAGTTGATGTAGTTGTGGCGGGAGATGTGGATGAAGACTGACTTGATGATGAGACTGGAATAGTTGATGAAGTTGTGCCTGTAGCCATTGATGAGGACTCACTTGTTGATGAAACTGATATAGTTGTTATTGATGAGACTGGAATGGTTGACATAGTTGTGTCTGCAGCTGTAGATAAAGATGTTGTTGATAAGACTCGTGTAGTTGTTATTGATGATACTTGGGTTGTTGACATAGTTGTTCCTGGAGCTGTTGATGAAGACTGACTTGTTGATGTGAATGGAATAGCTGATGAAGTTGTGTCTGTAGGCATTGATGAAGACTGACTTGTTGATGAGATTGGTGTAGTCGTTATTGATGAGACTGGAATAGTTGATGTAGTTGTGGCTGGAACTGTTGATGAGACTAAAGTAGTTGACGGTGTAGGAACTGTTGTAGTTGTTAGGAGGTGGGTTGTGGGTGTGGTTTGATAAGATGTTGTGGCTGAAGTTGAAGTCATTGTATATGGCGTTGCTGAAGACTCAATTGTTGATAAGTCTAGAGTAGTTGATGTAGTTGTGGTGGGAGTTGTTGATGAAGACTGACTTGTTGATGACACCGGTGTCGTCGTTACTGATGATATTTGAGTAATTGATGAAGTTGTGGCGGGAGCTGTGGGTGAAGACTGACTTGTTGATGAGACTGGTGTAGTCGTTATTGATGAGACTGTAGTCGTTGGTGTAGTTGTGGCAGGAGCAATTGTAGTTGGTAGGGGGTAGGTTGTAGGTGTGGTTTGAGAGGTTGAGGCTGAAGTTGTAGTTATTGTAAATGGTGTTGTTGAAGACTCAATTGTTGATTGGACTGGAGTAGTTGATGTAGTTGTGGCAGAAATTGTGGATGAAGACTGACTTGTTGATGAGACTGGAGTAGTTGTTATTGATGATATTGGAGTAGTTAATATAGTTGTGGCTGAAGCTGTTGATGAAACTAAAGTAGTTGTTGTTGTGGGAGCTGTTGTAGTTGTTAGAGGGTGGGTTGTGGGTGTGGTTTGAGAGGATGTGGATGAAGTTGTAGTCAATGTAACTTGTGTTGTTGAAGACTCAATTGTTGATGTAGTTGTGTTGGGAGTTGTTAATGAAAACTGACTAGATGATGAGACAGGAGTAGTTGATGTAGTTGTGGCTGGGAATGTTGGTGGGGAATGGCTTGTTGGTGAGACTGGAGTTGTTGATGTAGTTGCGGCTGGAGTTGTGGATGGAGACTGACTTGTTGATGAGACTGGTGTAGTCGTTATTGATGAGATTTCAGTAGTTGATGTAGTTGTGGCTGGAACTGTTGATGAGACTAAAGTAGTTGATGGTGTAGGGGCTGTTGTAGTTGTTAGGGGGTGAGTTGTGGGTGTGGTTTGAGAGGATGTTGTAGCTGAAGTTGCAGTCATTGTAAATGGTGTTGTTGAAGACTCAATTGTTGATAAGACTGAAGTAGTTGATGTAGTTGTGGCAGGAGCTGTGAATGAAGACTGAATTGATGATGAGACTGGGGTAGTCGTTATTGATGAGACTAGAGTAATTGATGCAGTTGTGGTGGAAGCTGTGGATGAAGACTGACTTGTTGATGAGACTGGAGTAGTTGATGTAGTTGTGGCAGGAGCTGTTAATGAAGACTGAAGTGATGATGAGACTGGTGTAGTCGTTATTGATGAGACTAGAGTAATTGATGCAGTTGTGGTGGAAGCTGTGGATGAAGACTGACTTGTTGATGATACTGGAGTTGTTGATGTAGTTGCGGCTGGAGTTGTGGATGGAGACTGACTTGTTGATGAGACTGGAGTAGTTGATGTAGTTGTAGCTGGAACTGTGGATGAAGACTCACTTGTTGGTGATATTGGAGTATTTGATGTAGTTGTGGCTGGGAGTGTTGGTGATGATAAAAGAAGTCA